GCACATTCTAACCATGTTCTTGACATGATGAGAGGCTGAAACTTGGTACACACATAGCTGTTAGATTGCTGACTACAGAAAAATTCCAACTTTGGTGGTAAGTGCCCTGGGGGCTCATTCCAGGGGGTCTCATTTTGTAAGCCTCGGTTTAACCCTCAGACGGACGCTTAGGCCTAAGCCATTCTGAGGCTCCCCTTGCCTTCAACAAAACGGAAGGAACGTGAATAGCTGATAGGTTTTCGATTCCAGAGAAAGTCTAACTAGTTAATGATGGCAGCCGGTTTATCGGGACATTTTGTGATGAACGGAACCATTTCTATGCAAGTGCGTTTAAATTTCGCCGTATATTCGGGACGAAAATCCGCTTAATTGGGCAACGTCGATATTAATTTATGCTGTCGGTCTCAGATGGACTTTTCCGCCCACCTCCTCGCTTTTTCGGATATGAAACAAGCAACTATGAGGACATTTCCTGAATGGCATTTTTTTGGTTTTGCACAAGCGAAGGACATTCGTGTCTGGGTTTCTTACTATACTATCAAGTAAGTTCGCTTTATTGGGGCAGCCCCTTAATTGGGGCAAATTGACCTGGAACCAACGTGTCACAAAAAACGGAATCCACTGTACAGTCCTGAAGCGGGAGAGTCAAGTAGAAAAATTAAATTCGAATGGAGTCAAAATGTTTTTACGAGAGAAAAACGTCCGTGAAATTATAACGTTACTTCCATCTGTCGGGGAAATCGGGAAGTCACAAGACAAATTCAGCGTCTTCTATGTATATCAATCGAGACGTAATTGCGCTTTACGTGACGATATTGCACACCGTCATGGAGTGTGCAGGTTCGTCCACGCATGTGCAACTGCACAACTTCGTCATGAAGAGCGCACTTTCGTCCTTCCAAGAGTAAAACCATCTAGCTTCCTACGTTTTTCTTTCTTTGGGAAATGTGGACTCGTCAAGTCCTGTGAAGTGCGCCTCCTCGTTTGGTAGCGATTTTAGACTGCTTTCTGCAAAGATGGCACTGGGAAGACATCGTTAAGGATAGCTTCATGATTACGGCAAGGTACTTCATCACTATTGTTGCGGTTGGCAGGTTGAATTGGCGTGATTCTCAATGGTTCTGAGTTTGAGACATCCAGGTTGGTTGCTTCCACATTCTGTCTCTCAGGACTGGGAGCTGCTTGGAGAAATGCATTCCCTGGAATTGCAGAGGGGTTGAATGGATAGATGCCACAAGCTTTAAAACCATTCACTGCATTGCCCACGGTCGCCGCTTGAAACCACCCTTCCCTGAGAAGACCTCCAAATTCCAGCTTGGTGAACGCTTTTCCCCCATGAGTGTGCGCCCATGAAGCAGCTGCCTTGTAGGAGTAGTTCTTCAGAGGCTTGAAGAAAGACCTATCAGTCGGTTGTAGCCAATGGGTTGTATGTGGAGGCAGACACAACAAATGGACTCCATGATCCTTGGCGTACTGCAAGAGATTGGGATCAGTTGCATGGGCATCACGTCCATCAATAATTAGGAGGACAGGCGCTTCAACTGTGGAGTGAACTACAGCCACAAAGAATTCCAGGAACTCCATAAACAGAGCTGTGTTTATGTAACCACTTTCACTGAACTTAAGCATGGAACCTGGTGGTAGGCGTTCACCCAGCTCACGCCGGTGTCGCTTTCCCTTGAAGATAACAACCGGGGGCAGGTAAGAAAACCACATAGCCAGTCCCATCCAGCTACGCCCAAGACTTGATTGAAGCGGTGATTTCCCAACTTAGCAGCAAACTTGAATGCTGCAGCTCTCACCTGATGACGAGTGAGGGGAAAGCCATAAGCTGCCAAATCCTTCAAGTGATTTTTTAAGGCAGTTTCTCCGTCTTCTCCAAGTTCACCCTTTCGACCAAGCCGCTTTACAAGCGCACATGGATAGGGCTCATAGGGGTTTTGCTTCATTTTCCTCTCCTGAAGGTATCGGCGCAGGCTTGATCTCGGTATGCCATAGGTTGAAGCAGCTTTGCTAGGTGCCAATTCTTCATTGCTGACTGCATTAATGGCAGCCTCCAAATGCTTTTCCTCCCACTGCTGGCGTACATTTTGCTTCACGTAGGTTCGGGGCATCTGGAAAATTACTGAAGTTCATTTCTCAAAGGCCAAGGTAAATGTCATGGATATATGATAGCTTCAAATATGATACCGAACAGCTTTGACCTTGATATTACATATACAGATGTGGGAGAATGGAAAATCTTTGGAATGAGAAGAGAGGTTTCTATGATCTTCACAATTATAGCAATGGCAACAGTTCATCAACAGCAATATATAAACCCAATGTGGATACCCAATAAGAACAACAGATTTTAAAAAAATGGATTACAGACCTGCAGAAGTATTGATGAGGTTAATGGCTTCCTGAAGAATCGTGAGTCGATTCGGGTCAATGGCTGACAGATCAGTGGCGTGGTGGTATACCAATGCTGGTGCGAATGATTTTGAATCGGAATTCTGGGCCATTTTATACATGGATGGTGGGACGCGGAAGTGAGTGGGGGGGGGGGGGAATGAATCCATACCAAGGTTACGACTCTCCAGCGCGAAAGTTTTTTGAAGGGCAGATTATTCCCTATCGCAATAATATCGCTGATAGTTCAGTGCAGTTTTGACGTGAAATAATGACAGTGTCCATATTACCCCAAATCGAGGTGGCCATATTCCCCCAAATTGGCTCCTAAGACAAAGTTGGCAATACTTCCAGCATTCTGTAAGAGAAAGGGCTGGCAATTTGCACATACATTATATAAGGACCATAGAAAGACTTAGAAGAAATGGATATAATATTCAGGAGCCAACAGGGAGTATTTGCTAAAATGGTTCAAGGTTCATATTAGTTTTAGTGTCATGAAGTGAGCAATTGTCCGCAGCCTTCTTTGCAAACGTTTATGTATCCTGTTTTCCTGTGGACAATTGCATTTAGGAACATGGCTTAAAACATCAGCTTTTATAGACCTCTTCCATGGTCATATTTTCCAATTTCACTCAACTCGCTTCTCAGCCTGTTTAGAGAAATGCTGTGGAGGGCCATATTACCCCAATGGCCATATTCCCCCAAGTTACCCTAATGGGCGGAGTGAGGGACTTTTCATTTCCGATCACTAAGGAAACTATAAATAGTGGCAGTTACGCATAATTAAATTGCGCTTGGGCCACTCTCAACTTGCAGATACAGCATCACCTGAATGCTGCACTGAATAACTGGAGGTTATCTTGCGATAGGTAAGTGCGTCAATAAGTTGGATAGTGAATGCAGGAATACAGAATATTGCATGGAAATGAACGTCCTACGACCCATGAGTGGAGGAAGAACCGAGGAAAAGGCGAAGCGAAGGGGATTCCTCCACCCCAGCCCGATAACGCATGCGAGAGAATCCTGCGAGCTGCTACCCTCATGATCTGCCATCCTCCCCGCCTGATCTCTCGCTGTTCCCATTCCAGCTGTTTCAGGGAAAGCATCCGGCGGCATTCATGTCATTCAATGACGTGAGTTTCCAAGATTTTTTGTCCTTTCCGTTGTGACATTGATGGCACTGCTACTAATCGTTCCCCATGGGGTGCTGATACCGTTCCTAGTCACTTAATCCATGTGTTGATATGCATATTTTAATGATGATGAGAAATCGTCAACTCCAGGAATTTTAGTCACCCATTTCTTCAGAATATATCGACAAACATAATTTTTGCAATTGGTTGCATTAGCCTTTGCAGTTCTCTGAAGCCTGTAAAAGCAGTTTTCTCGTAGCAAGCGTGGGACATTGCACAAATAATGCCAATGCCAAGACGGAGAGTACACTGTGTAAACGATGAAAATCCAGACTATTTTGACGAATAGCAAACTTCAAACTGTCATTGAAAAGCATGCTCAAGGTCATGTGGCCTAGCACATGGCCTAGAACGGCGTAGCCTTATGGGCATTGCGCGTTAGGCTTACAAGTCTATGTGCGCGTCGCCTGCAAGGCTATGATATTCGAACTTGAGAATACTTTTAAAAGAGACACCTTGTATAAGTGCCAATATTGATGAAGATGAGATTCCACCTACCTTTGTCGTGGTTACAGAAACTGCAATTACATCAGCTCTTCTTAAGTCAATGGATTTCTTGTGTCAACCGATCCTCGTAAAACCAGCTACTTTCGCCATTCTATTCGTCTGGCAAATTTGAGGATTGGATGAAAATAGGACCTCTTCAATATGATAGTCCAATTTCTTTAAATCGCATCTTCCAAATGAACTTCAAGTAGCAGGCATTGCGCAGTTCCTGTATTTGAAATGTTGAGTGCTAAAGGATAGGAATCACGTGGTTTCGATCAGAGAAACTTTCAAAATTGCCAGGTCTTTCTACTTTATTGGATTGCTAAAAATATGCTAATGAGGGAACGTCAAAATCCTGTTGACAATTAATTTATGCATACAAACCACGCGGGTGTGGAGGGTCGTGCGATGAAATAGTTAAAATAAATCAGCATTTTTTTCGAATGCTTGCAATTGACTGCAGCAATGCGAAGAGGCAAAAACGTCGATTGGGAGAGAAGTCGGTTTATATGCATCGGTGAAACCGAAGAAAATAGGAGGTTGGGTGCATTCTACTTCGCTGGAATTCTTGGGCGGTAGGCGTAATGGATCGGCCTACTTTCCTGACTCTGTTGAATGTAGGACACTATATATTACGTAATTCTGGAAAACCACTTCGATCATCGGGGACGGAAGAGATTTTTCTCTCTGGATCGATAGGTTCCGAATAATTTATTTCATAGCCTGAACGACATGTTTCCACGCTGGAGAAGCATGCTGCACTGTCCCGACCGAAATCGGACACCCAGCAAAAAAATATATTTAGCACAATTCCAGTCAGTGCCTCGTTTGAAATTTGTAAAAACAAAAACACGGACAGGGACGCACATTGTTCGTAAACATGCCAATACAAATGACTTGGGAGAACACGAATTCGAAAGGATGAACGTACGTTATTCTCCTGCAAGTTTCCGAACACCCCAACTTCCGGATGGATCGTTTGTAAGAGTTATATGCGTAGGGTTTTTTGGTAAGAAAAACTGGTTCCCATATCCGCCCTAACAGAGACATGATAAAAGATGTGGCAGGATTGCCTCTCTCTGAGGTAAATAAACATCTGACGTTTTTCGCTTATGAACTAAAAAATTGTGAAGTTCCTTGGAGGCATTACAGATGCTTCCTTATTATTATAATCTTTATTAGAAAATCCAAATTCTTCTTGAAGAAGAAAAGTGAGCAAACTGCTTAAGTTGGAGCTAAAAAGTTATTCTTCTCACTGAGACGAGACAGGAAAAGCGCCACACTTCCTCGGATCTTTTCTAGAATCTCTCAGGTCTACGGTGACGCGAGGAGGATGGCGTCGAGGATCAGCACGGCTTAGTGCTGTTTTACATTTTTTTCGTGGATGCCTCGCTTGCAAGTAAGAAGTCAGGGGTTCATATGCGCACCGGCCCAATGCAAAAACATTGTAAAAATTGCATAATTGACCGGATATTGCAAGGTTCTTGCGTGAATGTTTCCATCCATGGCTTTGAAATGCGTTTCCCTCGAGCGCAACCTAAACTGAAATACGGGTCTTCTTGTGATTTTACAGTTGAAGGAATCAAAATTCAATGGAGTTTCCCGTTTCCAGTCCAAGCCATCTATTTATGTGTGTACTTTTTACAGTGTAAGTCTGTTCTAGGCTTCAAGGCTGCATGAGAAGGTCCTAGAGGAATCCCATCGGGTTTTAAAAAGTGTACAATCTATAAGATCACTTTGATATCTAATAGAATCCTATAGGATTTCCATAGGAGTAGTTTCAATTTTCGGAATTAAAAAACAAATAGGACTTCTATGAGACTGTGTCGTGAGGGTGGAAAAAGACATGGCTTTCCCCCTGTACCCTTCTATTTCTTGAAAAAAAAGAGATCAGAATTAGGGATTGGCTGATTGGAGTTGGTCAACAGTAATGCACAGTTTAAATGACACCGGAAGTTCTACTTTCACTTCCCCGACTCACATTTACTTCTGTGAACGTGTTTCGCGTTAATACTCGTTTCAACGCCAACATCCTCTTAAGAAGAAGATTTTGTATGCATTTCAAGAGTTGTATGATGATAGATTTTGATCGAAAAAAAGTCTCCGTTCTTCACAAATCAGGTGTGTGATAACCTGTGCAAAGCCTGATCGACGTTAATGAATTCGAGGAATACCGTCGGTCCAACATGAAACAGCTACAGATCCTCATCTACCTGCTCCTGCCGGGTTTCAACGAAGCCATTGGGATCCTCGACACTCCCCGAGACGTGCACTCGCGATCCAGCCGAGAAGAAGCTCTTCTGGGGTGGGTCTTGCGAGGACTGCAGGGCGGGTACTACTCCGTCGTCTATCGAGATGCATGGCCGGATGCCCGGGACGGGCTGAGTATGGAGGTGACCCACGATGCGGCCACGGTTGAACTCGGTATGAATGAAGGGAGGGTTCCCCGAGTGGACCCAGATGCCTGGGATAAAGACTCGGTCTTACAGCATGCTTTCATCTTTGTCTCTCGCAATAGCCGGCTCGTCAACAAGGTCAGTCGCTCTAAGGTTAGACCCTCTAGGGGAAGTGAAAGTAGAACTTCCGGTGTCATTTAAACTGTGCATTACTGTTGACCAACTCCAATCAGCCAATCCGAACAGTAAGTATTGGCGAACTTCCCTCAAACAGATTATGCATTTCTTCTGGATTTCAAGTACTGGACCAGTACAGAAAATATAATAAAATCTGAGAGACATAATTCAGGCGAATTTCAGTAAAAATTACTCTTAGGATTTCAACTGATCAGTGACTCTTGACTTGCCATGAAGCTTTCAAAACTTCAAAAATTCAAGACCAATGATTTTCAATTTAAACTCGCACCAGAATCCGGAGGGAAACAGCCGGAATGATTTACATAAATTGCACACCTCCAAGACTATCCTGAACGCGAGTTCATGCGTGCCCTTCGGAGGTATGTTGGGAAGCTCTCATGACTGACTGTATGGAAGAGTGAGTCCACGAAATTATTCAGTACTTGCTGTTTGAAGGGGCGTCAGTTGGCGTTCTTGATTGGGATGGGGACAATGGGGGCAACGGGGGCAGTGGGGCACTTTCGCTCCGTAGGGTTGGTGACTGAGGTTATTTTGAGGTGCACCAAAAAAGACATAACTTTGAAGCACAAAATGATAGGGACGTGCACTTTTTTGTAAATTGAAACAAAAAGGTCTCTTTTTATTGCATTATATTATTTCACTATTGTAATATTTAAAAGGACGTACTATTATGTCCACCGTCGACCGATGGTAATTAGAAATAAACCTACAGTCACGTCCGTTGTATCGAAAGTGTTAATGTGTGTACATCCTTGATTTGAATGAGAGGCGTACAAACACGCTAAATAAATTCCCATGCATATGCAAACACAATGGAACACCTTTTCATCTTCCAAAGAATAANATAGGGAACTCTATAGGTCCCAAACTGAACTCTAAGCGGCATATAGGATCTTATAGGATTCCTATATATTCCTTTAGGAATATATAGGAATCTTATAAGACATTTTCGTAAGGGTAAAGAGTGAAGGGTTTTTTCAAATGCTAATCAGATCTGGAAGCAGAGAAAATTAAAAAAAAAATGGATGAGTTCCTCTACATTTCTGTTAATTTAGGAAAGAATGCGGCAAGACCTCAAGGATAAATATTGCAGTGTAATGACATTATGAGACACGGTAATGGCTCGGAACTCTAATTTTTTTTTCATGAATCTCATCTCTCGATAAATTTCCACTCTGATCATAAAATCACGCTCGTAGTGAATTTCGAGTTGAAGTCTTCTTCCCGACGACCTCTTGACACATAACAATTTTTTATTTCATTCGGTACTTCCTGCGTTTTCAAAGAAAGACCATGCGGATTTTTTTAAAGATGCTTCTTCCTGCGACCATGCAGACCGGCTCGCCCAAAGCATAAACCATTGGACGGATGTTGACAGGTGAAATAACGGCAGACGAGGCTCAGTGAGGAGCGACTGCCACTGAGTTGCATATCGTCTTAGAATATGGAGAAGCACCTCCTGTCCAACACACTGTTCTGCACACATATGTCCCAAACAAAGCCCTGAAGTACCAGACTTCCCTTATTGACCGTACTGAAAAGTAATTGTGTCACAGATCGAGATAGATAAAATCATATTCGTTGAGGGTCTACACATGGAACGCCGAAAGTCTTGTCTTAGGGCACAAATATGTCATTACCTATTCTAAAGTTCTCGTCCGTGCACAGTCTGCTGTAGTAACATCATTTCCATAGCACGCAAATTGACCTGGGGAGAAAGTTATTGGCGCCAATCCGAACAGTAAGTATTGGCGAACTTCCCTCAAACAGATTATGCATTTCTTCTGGATTTCAAGTACTGGACCAGTACAGAAAATATAATAAAATCTGAGAGACATAATTCAGGCGAATTTCAGTAAAAATTACTCTTAGGATTTCAACTGATCAGTGACTCTTGACTTGCCATGAAGCTTTCAAAACTTCAAAAATTCAAGACCAATGATTTTCAATTTAAACTCGCACCAGAATCCGGAGGGAAACAGCCGGAATGATTTACATAAATTGCACACCTCCAAGACTATCCTGAACGCGAGTTCATGCGTGCCCTTCGGAGGTATGTTGGGAAGCTCTCATGACTGACTGTATGGAAGAGTGAGTCCACGAAATTATTCAGTACTTGCTGTTTGAAGGGGCGTCAGTTGGCGTTCTTGATTGGGATGGGGACAATGGGGGCAACGGGGGCAGTGGGGCACTTTCGCTCCGTAGGGTTGGTGACTGAGGTTATTTTGAGGTGCACCAAAAAAGACATAACTTTGAAGCACAAAATGATAGGGACGTGCACTTTTTTGTAAATTGAAACAAAAAGGTCTCTTTTTATTGCATTATATTATTTCACTATTGTAATATTTAAAAGGACGTACTATTATGTCCACCGTCGACCGATGGTAATTAGAAATAAACCTACAGTCACGTCCGTTGTATCGAAAGTGTTAATGTGTGTACATCCTTGATTTGAATGAGAGGCGTACAAACACGCTAAATAAATTCCCATGCATATGCAAACACAATGGAACACCTTTTCATCTTCCAAAGAATAAAAACTTGTAAAATATCAACATTTTCACTACTAAAATGACTAGAAAAATGAGAAATAAAGCTTCTGGTTTTTCCGAAATCTGCAGATCTTGGCTTCTAATCTTGAGCTTCTGAATGGACCATCAAAGGCTTTCGTTTACTTGGGGAACCTGACTAAATCCATGGTGAAATCCTACTATTCGGCCTTCCCGGGGAAGAACCTCTACTTTTTCGGATACATGGCCCTGCCAGGCAGAAACGCCAGTTCCTCAGCCCTGTCCTTCCGTGTCTACAGCCGCTGCCTCTACTGTCAAAACGGGAAACCTAAGGTGTTCCTCGTCGACAATATCTCCAGTGTACGAGATGACATCCTGCAGTCAAAGATGGTATCCCCGCCTTCTAGCTTCACTGGGAATTTTCACGGAGCGAGGTTAGTGGTAATTATTGCTTCTTGTGGGGCCTGCGAGACTGAAGTAGCAGCAATTGTAAACGCGACAAAAAATAGTTCGATGAAGATCAGTGCGGAGGCAGCGACATATGGTGCACGAGAAATAAAGAGGAAGGAACGGCATAAACTTGCGATGGAGGTAAAGTTGTGGAACAGATGAGCGTTGGAGGATTAGAAAGGAGGTAGATGCGGAGAAGTTGTGGTTGATAGAAGTTGGGACGAGGAGATATCTGATTGGAAAGAAAGTTCTCGGAATTTCATGAACAATTATTACAACCCAGTTTATTTAAATATATTAAATATTAGCTATAGGGAACTCTATAGGTCCTATAGGTCCTATAGGGAACCCTATAGGTCCTATAGGGTATCCTATAGGTCCTATAGAGAATCCTATGAGTCCTATGGAGAATCCTATAGGTCCTATAGGGAACCCTATAGGTTTTATAGGGAACCCTACGGGTCCTATACAGAACCCTTTGGGTCCTATAGGGAACCTATAGGCCTTATGGGGAACCCTATTGGTTCACTATAGGGAACCCTATAGGTCCTATAGGTCCTATAGGGTATCCTATAGGTACTATAGGGTATCCTATAGGTCCTATAGAGAATCCTATGAGTCCTATGGAGAATCCTATAGGTCCTATAGGGAACCCTATAGGTTTTATAGGGAACCCTACGGGTCCTATACAGAACCCTTTGGTTCCTATAGGGAACCTATAGGCCTTATGGGGAACCCTATTGGTTCTATGAGGAACCCATAGGTTCTATAGGGGGATCTATACGTACTATAGGGAACTCAATAGGTTCCATAGGTTCTATAGGGGACTCTATAGGTCCCAAACTGAACTCTATAGGGCATATAGGATCCTATAGGATTCCTATAGGATTCCTATATATTCCTAAAGGAATATATAGGAATCTTATAAGACATTTTCGTAAGGCTTCACACTTGTGAGCTCTATGTTTTCTTCCCGGAAACAATTTTTCTATCCCGTGACTCACTCTTCGTCGGATCCCGCGAATCTCAAATTCACCCTGCAAATTCTCGAGAAGAGTATCGAAAGCTTTCGCGAATTTCGCGAAAAATATTGTCCACGGAGTTTCACTTCGGCCCCGTCATCCGTCGATATCTCGCTCATGAAATTTTACCAAATTTTAGGGCAATCGATTGGTACAATGGCGAGCTTGTCTTTTTATTGTCTTGCCGTCCAAATAACTGCAGACTTACTTTTTACACTTCAAGAATATAATTGCACGATTGGTATCTTCCTCGCCTCGGTGATATCTGTCCACCAATATCTGGTTGCCGTCCTGTGAGAGTACAACTAAGAGTCGGGTTAATAAATACGGACACCAGCTACTAAACATGGGAGTTCGAAGAGGAAAGCACCCCACTTTTGTTTGAATATCGTGTTCAGACATGAAAGGGAAGTTTCGACACGGTTGAAAAATTGTGTATTTGCGCGTGAACGTGCACATCTGCACGGGCCTCGGCGTCAGAAATGCGACCATGATGATACCAGAAGATTCTGCCCGTATCTGGCCCCAAGGACACCCTGACTGCACGCAGCACACCCAAGCACCTGCACGCGACACACCCAAGCACCTGCGCACAGCACACCCAAGCACCTCTGCACGGCTCACCCAAGTGAGCGACTGCAAGGGAAGCTCCCTTGCCATTCTGCCTCCACGCTCTGTAGAGTGAGTTCCCTCTGCCTTTCTGCTTTCCTGAGTCCCTTAACTGTGCCAGGTGTGTTATGATCGAGCAGTTGCAGCTTCAATTTACGCCCTAAAGTCTGAAATGCCAGATCCTGTAGCAATAGAAGATTCGCAGACGTTAGTCGATTCTGTGGCTGGCGTGAGACCCACCCAATTAGTTCGTACGATTTTCACGTCTCTGTGACTGTGAGTCAAAGATTCTGATGGTCCTTAACAACAATTTCCGATTTCCTGGAATTCGCTTAATGATCTTCATTAATATGAATAGCCTGAAAGCGTCATTGGCTGGAGCTGTTCAATCGGCAGAATCACTCAGGATCTCCCATTGTGCTGCTCCAAAAGTTTATATTGATATTGATATTGCTTCATTTGTCTCTGTCCACAGTTTGTCTGTCCTCAGTCTGTCCTCAAGGAGAACATGAGACCGACACTGTTGCTGATTTTCGTTGCCGCCATATTTTTGGCCTTTGGTGAGTTAGATTCTCATATTCATTAATTTTTGAAATAACATTTTCCGATCGTCTTCTCATCTCGTTCGATGTAAGACATTTTACCCAATGGTAAATTACATACCCAACTGATACTTGTGTTCTCCTTCAGCCGCAACGGCCGAGGCCGGCTTCGGCTGTCCGGATGGATCCGGGTGCCAAGAATATTGCCAGGGCGTGCCGGGAAAAACGAGAGGGAAATGCGGTGGCGCGTTCAGGAAGAATTGCAACTGCCTCTAGAAATCTGCACTACGGTCAGAGCGCATTCTCCTGCTGGAAGGGAAAATAAAAATGCTTCCAAACTCTGCTTCCTTTTTTTTTCGAGCAGATGCATCTCCTAAAACGTATCGTCGAAGAGACACCTCCGGAAACACACCCGAGACCCAGAGTAATTCGGGCAGTGGGAACGGAGTTCACGCGTAGATAAGACAATGAAATATGACAATGAAATATGAAAAGTAGATATGACAATGAGACTCCCTCCATCTTTACCAGAAAGAAATTCTGGAATTCAACCCTGCAGTTCGCGCGGAAGGATCCATGGTGTCCCTGACAGCCTATTTTATATGCAATCGCTCCGCAATATCCTTCATTCCTCCCAACCTGGATGCCTCTATATGATCTCGTCATTTAGTCTGTCTTGAGATGAGAGAAGGGGAATCTCTCATTTCGTGAGATCGCGCTGATAATTCACGGAATACTTCAGTAATCAATTGACACGTGCTAATTCAGGATTCGCCTTACCCAGGTATTTGGCAAATTTTCCCTATCTTGCTACTTTCCTATATCGTGATATTTTTATTTTTATTCACATATTCAACAGTTTTTAAGCCCTGCCTCATAAATAAAATCCATTTAACTCGGTCACATAAAATGACTCCAAGCAGGTTTTTTTTTCGTTGTAGAAGCTTGCATACCATATTTCACGACATTGCTCAATTTATTCTAGATTTTTTTGCGATCATTAATATCAAGTCTATAATTTTAGTTTCAACGTCCGATAAAAGGAAATCAGTGACCCCTTGTTCATCTTGGATGAATTTAGCTCTTCTCTTTCCCTTTCATCGCAAGCTCTCCGGTACAAGGAATATAGAAATCCGTGAAAGCCTGTCTTCGTGAGCTTTGATTTAGTACGTGTATGTAATGAAGAGGGGCGTTTAAAAATTTAATTTTTTTCTTAAACCTTTTTTCGTATTGAAACTTTCTCTTTATTAATTGACCTCAAAATTGAAGAGAACGATACCAAATATACTATAATGTAGTCTTGTGGGCGTTGTACATTTAGGTTTCACTGCGGACTTTCTTAGTTGAGGTTTTCTTCATTTCCAAACGATATCGTGACAATCTACGTTCAAGTCTCATTTAACATAATCTGAGAAGCTACGATCTGAAACCGAACACATCCTATATTCAACACATTCATGTAGTAATAAATTAACGTAGTCAACTTTCCTGTGTGGTCTGCTGTCAATGACGATAGTACTGTATTTCTTAGTGGTGGCTTTAGCATAGTGCATCCTACTGCTGTGGCCAATCAACAGCGACTTTGGCTAACTCCTTGAGTTGGATTTTAGCTCAAATTTTTGCAGTGTAAGTTCGCCTCATCTTCATATGTTCATAGTTCTCCTACACATCAAGACTTGTAGAAATGAAAATAGGCAAGCTCTAGCGACGAAGTTGGAACGCGTGCATGATTCATTATAAGATAAGATAAGCAAATTAGACAACAGTCATCGTCAGTCCAAGTTCATCTCATCCCACAATTTTTTAAATTGCAACACGAGTTGCAAGAAACCACGACTGTCTTTCCTGGTCCCTCAGATGATGTTATCGTCGCACTTGATGGCACATTTCAATACTCCAGATCCGACATTTGAACCGGGTGATATAGAGAGGGGAAAAGTCACGTCACACAGGACTTCCAACATCCCTGTCCTTATCTGCCTTCCCTTGTGGTGTATGTGTGCATCACCTGAAGATTCTTCCGAGTTATTCTACAGAGTGGGTGAGCATAGCATCTCCAATCAATATATCACGGGATCCATTTTCGGTCGACATGGTTCAGGAACATAACAGGTACCAGAAAACTCAGTTGGATCTGGAATTGGGGTGCAAATACGTGGCTGCACAGGTCAACGCCCAAGTGCCATACTGCGACGTCATCTTGAAGGTAGAAGATACCGTGTTTTTCAGTAGCAGGCTCATCTTGGGGGCGTGGTCACCCTATTTCCACCGGATGTTCACCTCAGGGACTAAAGAGTCCACCGAGAGAGAGCTGCATCTCCAGGGTGTCTCCAAGATCGGTTTCAGGGGAGTGTGGGAGTTTCTCCATAGCTCGGAATTCTTCATGGATGGCGAGGACGGGACTCTAGCCATCCTCCACGATGCACAATTTCTGGAAATTCAACATCTCTGTTCCATCGTCTCGAGGCAAATCAGTCAAATCCTAAAGCCCCGCAATGCCTTTCTCTTCCTCCGCAAAGCTGAGGAACTGGGCCAGAAGGACTTGGAAGAAGGAATTCTTAGATTCATGGCTGGCTGTTTCAATGAAATCGTGACCATGCCAGAGTTCCTTCACATGACCTTGGAATCACTAAAGAGCCTTCTCCATCGAAATGAATTGGAAGTCAAAACGGAAGATGAAGTTTTCGAGGCATCCAGGCGCTGGATCGAATACGATCCCGACCGGAAAGGATTCTGGCCGGAGATTCTGGCGGAGTTCGACTTCCCCTTCTCTCCTTCGACTTTCTCAAAAGAAACGTGATTGCAGATCCCAACATAAGTAACGACCCCAGATGCGCTCAAATTATCAGCGAAGCTAAGGACTACCACATTCCCCAGCTTCGAGACTTGGTTCCGGTTGCCAAGACGATGAAGCGTGAATCCGGAGTTTCTCATGCGATCGATGCTTCAAAGGAAGCGAAGAAAGATGCGGAGACTTCTTGCTTCCAGATAGGTCAAGTATTCTTCTTGGCTGAATCGCATGCTGGGAAAAAGACGATCAACCGTGTCCACGACAAATACTGGGAGTCTCTCAATGTTGCTGACTATCCGTACCAAGGGGACGACTTCTTTTCGTGGAGATGCTTCACTATCATCGGGAAGCGATTATACTTGGTAGGAAACGCGGATCTGAAGATCTACGAACTGTGCAGCATGATTTGGAGGCAAGCGACCAAATTCCACCCGTTAAACTGGTGGCTTCCGCATGTGCAACGACCCCTGCCTCTTTATTCATCTGCGGAGGATTGGATATCCAAAATAATTCATATTGGAAGTCCGTTTGCGAGTTCAACGTAGAGGCGCAAAAGTGGACTCGACTCTCTGACATGTTGTACCCCCGTCGATGGGGAGCCGCAGTCGCACGTGACTCAATTCTGCATGTTGTTGGAGGACACGATGGGCATAGTCGCGTGAGAGTCCACGAGCGCCTTGATACGAGGGAGGGGCGTTGGGAGGAGATGGCGCCCCTCCCTGAGGAGCGAGAGTGTCCTGCAGCCGTCTTCCACGACGGACAGCTCCATGTTGCAGGGGGTTATGCGAATCCCTTATGGCTGGCCAAGAAAGAAGTATTTGCCTATGAGGAGAGGGCTGACAAGTGGATGCAACTCCCGAGCACGAACGAAGGTAGAGGATGTCATGGACTGATCTCATATCAAGGCAGACTGTATGTCATCGGCGGGGAACGCAAATCTAACATTGAAGAATTCAACGGCAAAGAATGGAAGGTGATCAAAAACCTCGACTTCAAGGCGTGTGAACAAGCTTGCCTGTTGACTTGATTCACTCATCAACATATATTTGTAAAGGTCCTGAGATTGACTTCCGTGATACTGGCGTCGATACAGCTGTGGAAGGTGTGTCCTCAATCACGTATAAGGCGTGTGAACAAGCTTGCCTGTTGACTTGATTCACTGATCAACATATATTTGTAAAGGTCCTGAGATTGACTTCCGTGATACTGGCGTCGATACAGCTGTGGAAGGTGTGTCCTCAATCACGTATAGGTTCTTAATCAAGTTACTCATCAATGGACCATGAGGAAAGACTACATCGCTATCAGAGAAGTTTTATTGCACCTGAATCAAAAAAGCTGTTTTCATGGGATGTACACTTTCAGTGAACAGAAAATTTTGCTTTAGTGCTGATTTCCTCACATTTTCAAGTTCAACACGATGTGAGTGACGAACTACTTATATTTACCGCCTGTCCTCAGCTATTTTTCTGGTTACCAGTCATAAGTTCATTTAGCATCCACTGAACTTCCAAGAAGGTATCGACAACAACACGAGAGAGGTTCTGAATTTCCTTTAGGAGAAAAAGAGCAGATGCTATCATGCCTCCTATTTTTACTCTTTGGGAGAAATGCCTGCACATTCAGTGATTCGAAACAGTGAAATGGCTTCGGATGAGAATGTCAGTATGTCCTGGTTCCAGAGGAGCAAAGGGTATGTACGGGAAGATTTCCATGTGTCCAAATCCGGTTGATTTGTGCATTACCTTTTCTCCAGAATGGCCCATGGTGCAGCTACTCACACGCCCTTGATTAGGAAAGCCATTTACGGTTTGAAGTAATTTACAGCGGTAACATCTGGCATTGATCGTTTTGCAAAGACGGGGCGAGGAGGGGAGGTAAGATTGAAATAAATAACTGAAACTTTGATGAACACGACGTGAATAACAGAAATGCGCAAAACATATATTTTTGAATAGCCATCAATTCTCAGCCATGGACAAATACTTGATGTTACATCACAATTGACGATTGGGTCACTCACATGCAACCATTGCTATAGAATGAGCAACAACCTCCATGTGACGTTGCGACAAGGTGATATTTCGAACCCTAAATGGAAAATTCAGCGAGATATCAAATAAATATCGGATGGTCATTGGAAATGCTTTCCGTATTCATTCCAACACATGGAATCATATTTCCTGAGTGTAAGTTTTTTTAAGGCACTTCTCACCGAGGAACGGAAAATGGATCGTTCGCACCTTTTCCTCGCCACCAACCAAATAGGAATACAATAAATTACACATATATAAAATACACAGAAATTACCTAGGCACGCAGGCACATGGGGAGGGGTCATAAATTATTTTCAATTTTCATTTTCAATACTTGGATCCATTGGGGATATCTTCCAGGTTCAAGGGGAAATTCCCCCATAAGGACGATCCAACGTCTCCTCGCCGTAAGTACCCCAGCCCCGTCGCAGTTTTTGCAGATGAAAACGTTCACTCGAGATTTTAGTTGCAATTCTAATCACTGTCCAGTTCATATTTTACCCATCGTAAAATATAATCGGTTCCCATGGTTCGGATGAGGCTGTCGTCATCTGCGCGATTCTTGGTCTCGTGGACGGTTCCAAGCTGTCAGTCGTCACTTTCGTTATCGTTCTGGATTCGGGAGAGGTCGTCGTTACCTTCGTTACTCTTCCTCTGGTCCTATTCTTGGCTGAGGTAGTTGTCGTCTTTGTTAGTGTCGGTCAGGGTCTGAGTATGAACGTCGTTATTTTGAGTCCCTGTTATTCGTGTCTTTCTCGCTCGAACTGCCACCGTAAATGAAGTCGTGCTGAAGGTTCTTTTCGCTGTCGATCGTCGGGAAAAAGGTTAAAAGGGAGTCCAAGACACCAAAGCCTGTCGAGAAAGAAATAAAAGTCTTTGGTCACGGAGTCGCTCGTGGAAAATGGTGGCGCACTGTAACCGGGTCGAGACTGGGGAACCACGACGAGAGTCGGATCAAACATCGAAATATGAAGAGTATTGATACGATGAATGATAACGATACGACGACACGATGATAAGCTGAGGTAGGTGATGCGCCTTTCGTCGTCGGGTAACGACGGAACACGCACATCTCGCCCTCGCCCTCCGGCGTCCGCTATTCCGCCTCATTCTCACGAGGCGTGTGAACAAGCTTGCCTGTTGACTTGATTCACTCATCAACATATATTTGTAAAGGTCCTGAGATTGACTTCCGTGATACTGGCGTCGATACAGCTGTGGAAGGTGTGTCCTCAATCACGTATAAGTTCTTAATCAAGTTACTCATCAATGGGCCATGACGAAAGATTACATCGCTATCAGAGAAGTTTTATTGCACCTGAATCTAAAAAGCTGTTTTCATGGGATGTACACTTTCAGTGAACAGAAAATTTTGCTTTAGTGCTGATTTCCTCACATTTTCAAGTTCAACACGATGTGAGTGACGAACTACTTATATTTACCGCCTGTCCTCAGCTATTTTTCTGGTTACCAGTCATAAGTTCATTTAGCATCCACTGAACTTCCAAGAAGGTATTGACAACAACACGAGAGAGGTTCTGAATTTCCTTTAGGAGAAAAGGTTGAAAATCTATTTCGATTCCATTGTTTGCGAACGCCCAAAGGAAAGAAGAAATAATAACGTCTCGCCTATGCTTTCTTGCATGTCTCATCATCATATTACCCCCCCCCCCCCCCCCCCCCACCAAACCGCAACCTAGAAATAAAATTCTAAATGTCTAAATTTAAATTTAGAAATATACTTAAGAGCCATATGAATTCGAATATTTTCCACTTTGTCTTTCGTTGAAGTGCAACAGCCCCAGACAATAGATGTTTCCTTCCTTTATCATTTCCTCTTCAATAAAATACATTGGCGCTATCTCGCTTCACTCAATGAAAGCTTTCTTGTTCAAATACCTGCGATAGATGACATGCCCAAAAATAGGACAAATGTTTGTACCCGCCATAGTGCTTATGTGAGACCTATAAAGGCAGCCCAATGCAACGTGGGCCAACGCTCCCCATTCGGAGCCACCGTGGGCCCAAAGTGGTGTGTTTCAAAGTGGTGTGCAGATCTTGTCAACATTATGAGTACGGAATGGTACTAAATCCTGAATAAGAGAATTTCAATAGACGTTTGTCTTCCTGATGATTCCTGAACGTTTATCAAGCATACGAGACTATTTTAGTTGTCAAACGACGATGAATTCCACTATCTCCCTGTGACTTTATGCAATACGATCGACTTCTGGAGATCGCTCTGCATTCACATTGTCGTTGTCGCAGCTGGCTTGTCCTTTCTTCCAAATATTAATTATACCGGCAAAAAGGAATGGTGAGGAGTTTGCATGTCAACTTGAAGCAGCATTTAAATAGCTCAGGCATTTCATTCAATGTTGTACCTCGCCCGAGGCGTTTAAAGAAGAAAACAATAAAAGGTATCGGTGAAATGAAACTACCCAATACGCTGAAGACTGGAAATAAATTTCTGTGGAAAAGAACGAAATCTGTTTAAAAGGCTTTCTCGAAGCAAACCCAGATTTGGTTACCACCACGAAATTTAGTATATCGCTCGAAGAGGAAAACTGGGTGGTTCTAAAAAGCTCTTAAAAATACCATGGACTAAAAATTTAAAACTTGTGCCTACCGTTCAGTAATTAAGAAGACTTGCCTCATCTCCCTGCATTTTTTGGAGGCTGAAATATTTATTCCTGCTTTCCTTGTGAAACTTTTTTCATTGAAAAAAATTTTAACTAACCAATTTGAATTGATGGCAGGTTCTGTTTGACGCGAAATATAATCTCTCTGCGAAAAAATGTCATATGGTGACTCGTGCAAAAAATATTACGTTATTATTTTCAGCTTTCAGTTTCATCATCTTTTATTAAGTTACTTTTTAAGTTACTTTTAACCCGATGCACTTCATCTCATGTGTTTTCGTATAGTTCCTATGTTCTCTCACACTTCCTTTAATAAAACCGCATTTTGTTT